GATGGAGAGGGGAAAGTGTGAGTGTGCATGAGTGTGGGGGGTGGAGAGGGGAAAGTGTGTGTGTGCATGAGTGTGGGGGGATGGAGAGGGGAAAGTATGTGTGTGCATGAGTGTGGGGGGATGGAGAGGGGAAAGTGTGTGTGTGCATAAGTGTGCAGCTCGAGGCTCCCCACAAAGTTTCAAATGGATGGTGGCCCTTCTCTCTGGGAAGACGGTGCCTTGGGCCATGACCCACCTGCCCAGGTCTGGGTGGGCAGTGTCCTTGTCCCTTCTCAGAGTTCCATCAGCTCAGCTGGACGAGGCAACAGTTTCAAAGTCTAAAGACAACCGTGCCTGCAAACAAGAGGAGCAGCTACGGGAGGCCTGAGGCTGCCCACTCCATCTCCACCCTCAGCCAACTCCCTGCTGAGCAGGTCTCGTCCTGGTGACGTAAACACCAGCCCTGAATGCCCACCCCCGTCCCTAACACCCAACTCATGTAGCCAGCTGCTTGCTCATCTCCTGTCACGCGTCTAACCAGCAGCGTAAACATAAAACATCCAGAACAGAATTCTCAGATATTCCATCCAAACCACACTTTCTCAAGAGTCCCTGGGTGGCACAAACTGTTAAGCACTCAACTACCTGCCGGAAGATTGGTGGTTCCAATCTACTCAGAGGCACCTTGGGAGACAGGCCTGGCCATCTGCTTCTGAAAGGTCACGGCCTTGAAAACCCTACGGAGCAGTTCTTCCCCGCACAGGTGGGGGCGCCTGGAGATGGAACTGACTGAGTGCAACTGACAACGAACTACCCTTCCTCAGTGACCAGAATCATCTGTAACTTCTCTCTCCCTCGCCCCACATTTCCACTCCACCCGCCAATCCCGTTGGCTCCACTTTCAAACCACATCCGAATCCAACCAGGTCATCACCTCTACTTCCTCCAGGCCCCCATTAGCGTTGGCCCTGAAACCCTGTGGAGCAGTTCTGCTCTGTAACACACGGGTCACCATAACGTGGGGTCAACTCAAAGGCAACTAACAACATCAAATGGGCAAACAACAAACAAAACCCAAACGGCTTCCGGAGGCCTTTCTCAGCCTCTGCCTGCGGGCTCTGTGGCCGTCTGCAGGGTGCAGCCCCCAGCCCACCCCCCACCGCCCACCAGCAGGCTCAGCTCCTCCATGTCCTTTGAGGAGAAGGCTCCTGGAGGCCTCCTGCAGGGTCTGTCACGTCCCACCTCCAGGGCGCCCAGCAGGTCAGCCTGGGTCTTAGTCCTCACCCATCTCCACTCTGGGAGAGCTGAGGAAACGAAGCCTTAGGGACTCAGCGATGGCAACCAGCAAGTCCAGCGTCAGGCTCTCCCCCCTCACCGCTGCACAGCCAGGGGCTTACCTGAGTCCAAGTAGCGAAGCTGACTTTATCGGCTGCGTTGAAGGCCATGATGTTGTATCTCTTCGTTGTGTTTCTAGAATGGCAAAAAGGCGGCCATGCTCATTCATTCACTCAACAAACCACCCCGGCTCAGCTCTTGTGCCAAGCAATCCTGTCGTTAGCTGCCGGGGAGCTGGACCCCAACTCATGGTGACCCATGAACAAGGAATGAAATGCTGCCCAGTCGGACACCATCCCCACAGGGTGACTGTTATGATCCATACGGTTTTCACTGGCTGATTTCATAAGTAGATCACAAGCCCTTTCTTCCTAGTCTGTCTTAGTCTGGAAGCTCTGCTGAAACCTGTTCAGCATCGTATCAACATGCAAACCTCCAATGACAGACAGGTGGCTGCTGTGCATGAGGTGTACTGGCCAGGCATCGAACCCAGGTCTCCTGTATGGAAGGCGAGAATTCTACCACTCAGCCACCACTGCCCGAAACCAGCTGCTGTCAAGTCAGCTCCAACTCATGGTGACTCCTGTGTCACAGCAGAACTGTGGTCCATAGGATTTTGAACGGTTGAGCTTCCGGAAGTAGATCACCAGGGTTCTGAGGCATCTCTGGGTGGACTCAACTCTCCAACTTTTCAGTTACCAGCCAAGAGCGTTAATCATTTGCACTGCCCAGAGACTCCTTGCTGGGGACCCATAAAAAACTCTATACAGTGTCCCAATCTGTCATGGAAGCCACTTCCGTACTCTCCCAACTCCACGCCACAGGAGACCAGAAGGGACAGATGGGTGCGAACCCAGGATGTGGGGAAAAGAGAGAACTTGGCCATGGAGGGGAGCGGGCAGGCAGGGAAAGCTTCCTGGATGAGGAAAAACTCTAGAACCGGTATGGTCAGCAAGATTCCACCCCGTGGAGTCAGAGCTGGGGAAAAGAAATTTCTAACAGAGAGAATGGCGTGTACAAAGGCCTGGAAATGAAAGTAAGCCTGATCAGTTTGAGGCAGGACAAGGAATGTGTCCTTACAGCCAGAGTGTGGGACAGAGGAGGTCTCAAATGCTAGCCCTAACGTATTCAGAATCCCTGGGTGGTGCAAACAGGTAACACGCTCGGCTGCTAACTGAAAGGTTGGCGGTTTGAGTTCACCCAGAGGTGCCACAGAAGAAAGGCCTGGCGATCTACTTCTGAAAAAAAGCAGTCATTGAAAACCCTGTGGTGGAGCACAGCTCTACTCTGACCCACATGGGATCGCCATGATTCAGACTCGATGGAGGACAACTGGTATTAATGTACTCACTCTTTGTTCGTTCATTTATTCAATCACTCAAGCAGAGTGATGTATTCATTCATTCATTCATTCAAAAACAGTGATTCGATCAAAAACAGTGATGGCCCCAGAAGGGCCTTAGCTCAACCCCACCCCGCGCTCAAGGCCCTCCCAGCCTGCAGGTAGAGCCAGCCGCCCACAAGCTCGTGCAGGTTCGGATTCCTTGTTGTGGGGGTGGAGGCAGGGACTTACTTGGGAACTCGGACAACATACTCAGTGACATTCTGGCTGCTGGGGCCCTGCGGAGAGAGAAGGTGGGATGGTGAGTGAGGGGCTACGGATGTGGCCGCCGGGACCTCCAATCCCGCCTCATACTCACTAGGGCCGCCATGGGCAACAGTCAGTGTTCGGGTCCGCTCCGAACGGGTCAAGGTTTGAGGCCTCCTTCTCGCCTCCGCCAGGGTCCGCGTCCCTCAGTCTCGGGGCTCGGTCCCTGAACGAGGACCTCAAGCGCTCGGCGCCGCCGGCCCCCGTACCGACCACCGAAAAGCCACACCCACCGCCCAGTCCGCCTTGGCCCGCGGTCCTGGCCCGTCTACGCCTGCGCCGCCGTCTAACCCGGAAGCGAAACCTGCAGCGGTCCGCGTCGCGATGGCAACGTAGTCTCTGGTCGCGGGTCCCTCAACGCGCTGACACTTAGCCCTCTCCCTTCTTCAGACGGAGCAAACGCATGCCTAGCCAGAAGTCGCCTTCTGCAGCTTGCGCTTCTGTTTTTCACTGTATAGAGTGTAATTAATCTAATCATGACCCGTGGGAACGCCTTCCTCCGTGACGTCACTAAAGACCGCGGGGCATCCTGGGTAGGGAGAGAGAAAGGATCCCTGTTCACTGGCTCCCAGGCGTTCTGCGCATGCGCTGTCTCGCGCCGGAAGCAACTCCAAGGGGGCCCCGTCACCACAGCAACCGAGGCCTACTCTTAGCAGCAGCGTTGTTGTGGCTCTGCCGGCCTTGTAAGGGGTTCATTTCCTCCCCCGACTCCGGGGGGACGTCGTCATCCGGCAAACTGGTCGGGTCTGGAGGGGTCAGAGGCTGGGTGGTGATGGGGCACGACGACCGCTCGGACCGCCGGCGGGCTGTTGTCAGGGGCTGACGAGTGGGTTCTGACTTACAGCGACCCTGTGTACAACAGAGCGGAAGACTGCCCGGTCCTGCGCCATTTCACAGTCTTCCTGCTTGAGCCCATTGTTGCAGCCACTGTGTCAGTCCATCTCATTGAGGGTCTTCCTCTTTTTCTTTTTTCATAACCAAACTGTACGTCTGGTATTTGTGGGAGCGAGGGAAGGATTTTAGCACAACACGCAATCCTGCAGGGATTCCGCACCCCGTTTCCAACAGATCGGGAAACCAGAAATCCAGACTCCTGAGGCGCTGGGTTGTCTGCTTGTGGCTGGGGAGGGAGCAGACCCAGCCAGAGTTCTTCAGGACTAGAACTCGAGGACCTATTGAGGTGAGGGCTCTCTTAGTCATGGCAAGGCTGCTCCTTTAGGGTGTAAAATTACTGCTTTTTTGCTTAGGGTCCAGGAGTTACAGAGGAAATGAATTCCATTTACATACTTTAGATGAACTTACTTACGTCCGGTAAAGGTCTAATACTGTAAACAGTTAAATCGTTTTCTTTGGCAGGCACTTCAAACAGCAAACTCGACGGGGGCGGTTAATGTATCATTCCAAAGACACTCTTATAATCAAGTGAACTAATTACACTTGACTGTTCAGCCTGTTAATCCACAATTTAATCATCACCTCAAAGCTGGTTTACTATTATCAAACCAAAAATAACAAAAGGTCTTCCTCTTTTTCGCTGACCGTCTACCAAGCACGATGTCCTTCTCCAGGGACTGATCCCTCCTGATAACATGTCCGAAGTATGTGAGACGAGTTTTGAGGATTTTTGTTTTCTTTATGTTGAGGTGTAATCTATACTGAAGCCTGTGGTCTTTGATCTTCATCAGTAAGTGCTTCAAGTCCTCTTCACTTTCAGCAAGCAAGGTTGTGTCATCTGCATATCGCAGGTTGTTAATGAGTCTTCCTCCAGTCCTGATGCCCTGTTTTCATATAGTCCAGCTTCTCCAGCTGCCGGGATGGGTCTGTGCAGTCCATGCTGCCCCAGATAGGAAGGCCCCTTAGGCCCCAGGAGAAGGGTATCATCGTGGGGGCCGGTGGGGGGCGGGGAGGAGAAGGGTGCTGTGGAGACCAGAAGGGAGGTGCATGGACCCACCCCCTGCAGCCAAATGTGCACACACCCTCATCACCTCTCAGGCAGTAACAGCTGCGGATGCTCACTGTTCAGCCATTTCCTCTATCCACTTAGGTAATACTTGCCCGACTGTGGTAATACTTGCCCGCCTGTTGTGGGCTTTGTGCTGAGTTCTGGGCACTCAGTGGTGAGTGTGTCAAACCATCTCCCCGCCCTCTTGGAGATTACAGTCTACTGCATGAGACAGTCGCAGAAAATGGTATCTATACCCCAGGAGGAAACAGGGCTTCCACGGGGGAAGATTTAAGCTGGACCCTAAAGGTGAGTGTTAAAAAGCAAAGATGACAGTTTGAGGACTACGGTGCACCTGACCAAAACCATGGTATTTTCAGTCACCTCATGTACATGCGAAAGCTGGACAATGAATAAGGAAGACCGAATAATTGACGCCTTGGAATTATGGTGTTGGCAAAGAGTATTGAATATACCAAGGACTGCCAGAATAATGAACAAATCCATCTTGGAAGAAGCACAGCCAGAGTGCTCCTTGGAAATGAGGATGGCAGGACTTCTTCTCACATGGCTTTGGACATGTTGTCAGGAGGGACTAGTCCCTGGAGAAGGACATCATGCTTGGTAAAGTAAATGGTCAGCAAATAAGAGGAAGACCCTCAACGAGATGGATCGACACAGTGGCTGCAACAAAAGGCTCAAACAAAGCAAGGATTGTGAGGATGGTTCAGAACCGGGCAGTGTTTCGTTCTGTTGTACATAGGGTTGCTATGATTCGGAACTGACTGGACCGCACCTAACAAACAACTAAGGGCAAGGCAGGCAGGCGGTGGCGCAGAGTGTGGCTCGTGGGCGCCACCAGGCGTGCATAGGGGTAGGGGTGCAGCAGCCTCTCCCTGCTGGCAGCCCCACTCCACGTCCCTGCCTGACCTCTGCCTATGTGTCCCTGTGTTTGTCTCTATTTCTGTCTGTCTGTCTCTATTTCTTCGGTCTTTTCTGTTGTCCATCTCTCCTTTGAGCTTGTTTGTCTCACAGCTTGCTCTTTTTCTCTCTGCCGGTGTCTCTCTCCCTTCTCTCTCCTGAGTGTTTCTCTTTTCCTCTCTGCCTCACTTCTGTCTCAGTCTCCGTTTCTGTCTCTGTCTCTCTTCTCTGCAGGTCTCTGTGTGTTTCTTTTTTGCTGTCTTTCTCCGTCTGTTCTTTTCGCACCTCCTGTGCCCCTACCTCCCATCTCAGGAGTGTCTTCCACACTAAGTCATAACAAGGCAGGTGCGTCCAGGAATCTGTCCCTGGACACACCCCTCTCATGTCGCAACCCCTGTGCCCCATCCCCCCAATGGCATCGTGGTGCATCTGGCTACCTGTGGGTACCTGATGACCAACCCCATGCCCCTCAGCTCCTACATTCTGGTCTTTGGGGAGCGGACCCCATGCTGGGAGCCCCAAACCACATGACCCCTGCTCTTTGTTGAGGTCAAGCATGTCCCCTGGGGTGGCTGTCTCTGGCTCCCTGAAGGTGGGAGGGAGCAGAGAGGTTGCGTGGGGGACAGGGGACAGTGAAGACCTGATCCCCCAAGAAAGAAAAGGGTCTGGAGAGAGACATGACAGTCATCCTTGAACCCCGCAGGAAGGGCTGGGGGCTTCTCCTCTCTGCAGCTGAGAACCAGGCGTGTGTGGCTCCCATGGCCGGCAGGCTGGAGGCCCAGTCCCTAATCAGCCTGGGCCCCGCCGCTGCCCTGACCCCAAATCTCCCACACTCCCGAGTGCCCAGTCCCTCCAAGGTGCCACATCGTTCTGCTTTCAGCCAAGATCCATCTGACATCAGCAATGATATCCCTCGTTCCATGTCCTCTTCTGAATCTGGCTTGAATTTCTGGCAGTTCCCTGTCGGTGTACTCCTGCAACTATTTTTGAATTACCTTCAGCAAAATTTTACTTGTGTGTGATATTGATAATATTGTTTGATAATTTCCGCACTGTGAGAATAACCTTGTTAGTTTAAGCCACCGGCTTGTGGTGCTTTGTTAGCGCAGCTCCGGGAAACTGATAAAGAAGGACACACAGCTGATGAAAGAAGTGAGCTGTGAACCCACCCAGCGGGTGAGAGGTCAAGTTCAAGGCCTGCACAGCAACCGTTGACCACTGACATGGTACATGCTCCATATGTCTGCTCTGTCCACTGTGAAATGGGCATGACTGTCCCTCCCCCAGGGTTGCTGGGAGGACTTGGTGGAGCCCCACCCCTCACCACATCCCTATTCAACAACTTGGTGGTGTGTTTTTTCCAACTCAAAAGGCCTTCCTAGAACCTTGCCTTTGAAATTGACTAGGAGGAGCGCTGGGGAATTCCTGCAAGGTAGAGAATTGAACCGAGGAGCAGTTTTGAAATGTAATGAAATCTTTACGAATACAAAATTTAGCAATTGACGGAGTTGACACATTTCTGTGGCTGTGGAGATGTTTGATAAGGTATTAATTCTGATCTTGCAGTTTCCTTTCTTGCATTTTTAGAGATAATTTGTTTTTCTCTCTAGGTCTCAAAACACTTCAGAGTCCCCTGTGAAGCCTGAGCACCCTGGGCCCTGTTCCTGTGGAGCCTCCTGACATCTGCTGACATTTATTAAGCGCCGACTGTATGCTAGCTACAATTCTTTTTTTTGTTTTAATGCATAGTTAACTAATTTAATCTTCATAAAGATTCTATGATGAGCCCTGGTGGTACAGTGGTTAAGCACTTGGCTGCTCACCAAAACGTTGGTAGTTCAAACCCACCAGCTGCTCCGCGGGAGAAAGATACGGCAGTCTGCTTCCGTAAAGATTACAGCCTAGGAAACCCTACAGGGGCAGTTCTGCTCTGTCCTGTAGGGTCACTATGATTCGGAATTGACTCAAAGGTAATGCGTTGGTTTTTGTTGTAAAGGTCGTATATGGGGGCATTGGTGGTTGCAAGGTGCAATTCTCTCCTTCCATGTGGGAGATCCAGATTCAGTTCCTGGCCAGTGCACCTCAAGCGCAGCCACCACCAGTCTGTCCGTGGAGGCTTATGCGTTGCTAGGATGCCGAACAAGTTGTAGCAGAACATCCACATTAAGACGGCCTTGGAGGAAAGGCCTGGTGATCTGTTCCTGAAAACCAGCCAATGAAAACTCTACAGATCACAACAGACTGATCCACAACTGATCTTGGGGATGACGCAGGACTGCGCCGCTTTGTTTTCTGCTGTGTATGGGGCTGCCGTTAAGTCAGAGCTGAGGACAGCAGGTAACAACAGAAAGAGGCTTTTCTCACCCCAAAGGGTACCTGGTGGGACTCGGCCAAATGGAACAAGACATTAAATAGCCACACAGTGAATTGGGGGCGGCCTGGTGGTGGTGTGGGCCGAGAGGCCCTGCGTTACCCTCCAGGGTGTTCCTACCACCAGCATTGTTCCGAGGTAGCCATAACGACAAGATCTGAAAACGGGCCTCCACCCCAAGCCTGGGCGGCCTGCTGTCACCGCAGCCGAGCCTGGCTTTTATTACCTGACATGGGACCCCATTTCTCAACTTGTGGGGGGAGGGGGGGCAGCGTGCCCCACAGGCCCCTCGGACAGTGTGAAGATGCATCCAGTCCACCTGTCCTTGGAACAGGGCTCTCAAGGCTGCCAGTGGGGGACGGGGAGGCTCAGGAGAAAGTGACTGGAGGTGACTCAAGTGCCCGGAGGACCCGAGGGCCAGTGCCAGCGCCAGCACCAGCCTGCCTTCAGCGCTCTGGCCTCCTGATGTCCAGATTGCTCTT